TGTCCCACCCCGCACCACCTTGGCGTACTTCCTCAGCTCCCAGTATTGGTGACTGATGATAAAACTGGCACCTGAAGCAGCTTGTGGGATGTGTGGTCTGGTGGGATGGGGAGGAAGGTAGCTGGTTCATGGGAGTAGTCCATCTGGAGGTGGTGGGGCTTAAATAGCCTGGTACCAGGGAAGGTGTAGGAAAATTACAGCCCCAGGGCTGGAGCCAGTGGCTGTGTCTGCATTGGGAATTGTACAGTGTCATGGGATGGGATCCCTAAGGATGGCCGTGTTACCCCTAAGGCCCCTCGACTGTGCCAATTCGGCCTGATGGGCACCCTCTGTTCTCACCTGCCACGTCTTTGATGGAAATATAAAAATAGGGAGGCTGCCTTTAAGTCCTCTTGGACACAATTTGATGGACTCTCTGAACCCCGTGGGTTCCCAGACCTCTTATGGGTCCCGTCTCACAATGGGTGTTTTGGGGGCACCCTAGACTTATGGGCTATATGCGTGGCTCCAACTGCCCCTTTACCATGCCCCAAGCCTTGCAGATGGCATTGACATTGTCCGGTCTGGGCCTTGCTATGAATTGGTCCCCTTGTCCTCTCTGGGCTCTCCACAATGCTGTCTCTGCACCTCTCTGGCGCTGGGGTCTGTGCACCCCAAATGCCATGCCCTCTCTGGTGTCGGGGTCCTCACACCCCAGTGATGCCTCCTCCTTCCCCAAATAGCCTCACCCAGACCACCAGTCTTATAAAACTACAACCAAACATAAACCCCTGGGCTATAACATAACACCAACTGCATTAGGTATGCTCTGCCCCTTTCTATTACTGGGAGCAGAACTTGGTCAGGCTTCTTTCCTTCACTAACTTTATGAGAGCTCCTTCCCCCGTGGCTGCTGGCGGAGAACTGCCCTCCCTAGCTCCCTAGCCTGGGGTTTATATGGGCCCAGTGCTCTCCCCCTTCTGGTCAGCTGATCATGCACAGGTGCAGGCTAATTTGCCCTCTGGCTTGTTGCCCTGGTAACCTGCACCTGGGTTTCTGTCTCTCTTGTTGGGCCCTCTCCCAGGCAGTTTCTGCTCGTCTAGGAGCAGGGCACCCTAGTGCCGTGTGACACACAGAAGTTCAGTTAGATTGGTCTTGCTGGACCTGAGCTAAGTTAGACTACCTCAGAGGTACACTGAACTGTGTTTGGGTTGGCAATTTGTAGATGGATCTAACTGTCTTGAACTTCTGTACAGTTTGCATGTAGATCCACCAAACTAGTGTAAGGTCCACAGCTGGGCGAGCTGAGTTAAATTGGGTGGCCATTTTTAAAGTTATCTAATTTCCCCCTCACCTCTCCAAATGTCTGTACGGAGCATTAGTGTGCATAGTAAATAGGAAAGAGTAGGCTTTTGTCTATTAGGAAAGAAAGAAGGAAACCTAGAGGCATTTACCTTTAGTATCTTAAAGCATAAGGTGGTATTTACTATACCAGTGGTTCTCAATCTTTTTCGATTCAAAGCACTCTCATTGGACTCAAGGCACCCTTAGGTAAATTCTAGGTCTTAGCTTTCAGTTGTTTCTTGACTACACAAAATAAAGCAAGTCTTCTGTTGCAGAAATCTCAGAAAGACCTTAGCAAATCAGAATGCTTTTGTATTCCTATTTGAAATCTCTCGATTTATCTTGTAGATCATGCGTAGGTGTTGTGTGGCACCCCGCAGCACACTTAAAAGGATCTTGTGGCACACATTGTTTGAAAATCCTGTTGAAAATCACTGTATTATATGGATAGTTTGTGTGGAGCCCACAGTATATGGAAAATGTATTCAAATATTTTTTAAACTGATGGTTTATGGTGGTTAGCAATGATGACATCTGAAGAGTTATAAAAAAAAGGCAAAACAAACCTGAACTTCATCATAATCCTTACCTTGACACACTCATCACAAATGAAAGAGACAGAGGTGAAAAAATATAGAGCTACAGTTAAATGTGCCTGAAGACCCAGTGGAATTTGGAATTTAGAAACAGTATTTTTAGAAAGAACAACTACCCAAGAATAACAGTAGCTACAGTAACCTATGAGACTGCAAAAGCGTGAATCAAGCAGCTATTGATTTCAGCAGCAATCATGTCTGCAGAGAGAAAAACCGTTGTGCTGATGATAGATGGATGGGGTATTGGAGGTCAGCTCTTTTCAGCTTCCTTTGGAGAAAGTGCAGATTACTTACATTTTTTAATTCAGTTTCTCCCATGGTGCAGTAATGATCAGCTGTGTTTACTTGGAAAACTCCTGTTTGATAAACTTTTTATGCTTCTCCTCTCACCCAAGTTTTGAAGACACTTGCCCTGACTGAGTGTGTGGCAGGGCAAGAAGTATAAACTAGGAATAATTACAGATCCAAATGCTGAATGGAAGATTCCCTTGATGGGATTTTGTAATGCAACGTTAGCATACAGTCTTGTGTATGTCTTCTAAAGTGTGTTGTACCTTGGAAAGACTTGAGCAAAAATCTATGCTTATACAAATATAGTAGAATTTGATTTTTGTTTTATTTCTTTGTGCAAACTGTATCTCATAATGCTTTATAGAATTAGATAATACAATTATAACATTTTGTAAAAAAAAAAAACCCTAAAAGAACAGAAGATGAACAGGAAAGTGAAATATTTTTAGGCTAGGTTTAAGACACAGAGGTATGAAGATATAGGAAAGCTGTTCCGGAGAGCAGGAGCTACAGGGAAGGGTCTCTTGCAAAAACAGTGACAAGGCTGCATCGAAAAATAGAGGCCCATGCTATCAGTGGAGAGAATAAAGGTAGTATTCTATAGAAAAGGCAGTGGGCAGCCTGGCTTCACCCTGTGCACTAATCCAAGGGGCACATGCCCCCCATGCCTCCCCTGGGGGTATGCACAGTGGTGGGAACTGACCCCCTTCCTGCCCCACCAGGCTCCCAGACAAGCTGCCTGCAGCTCCATCCTGCAACCTGTCCTGCCCTGGCTGGGTAGTACCTGCCCCTGGCCTCGCCCCAGCCCCACTCTCTACCTCACCGGGAGGGCCTTAGTTTGTCCCCACTACCCCTTCCCTCCTCCATGCCCCTTCCCTCCCACAGACTTACCAGCCAGACGCTGCTCTTCATGCTGCCAGGTTGCACTCCTGGCTGTGAGCATGCATGTGGCATTTACCTGTGACATTATCAGCTAAATTGGCCATAAAAAAATGATTGCCGATAATATCAATTTTATTTTTATTGGTGCCGATACGATATGGACTGATATATTGGTGCACCTCTAGTTTCTAATGGTCCCAATCCCTTATTTCAGCTTGCCCAGGCTTATCAACAGCTTCCTATTCCTGACAGCTTCTACACTTTCTCTCTTCCCTTGGGAACAGCAAGGGAAGTCTTTTATGCCTCTGCTGTTCTGACTAATCATCAGTTTGGGCCAGGAAGGAATTTTTCCTGTCAAGCCAAATTGTCAAGAAGGTTAATACAGCATCAGGGAAGCACCAGTTGGGTTAAGAGCAATAGAATTCAGTATTAAGAAAGTAAAACTTTTGGCTTGTCACAGCTTGCAGCTTATGTCCTGTGTAAGTTAAGGTTGAAAGGGCCAGCTCCTGGACATAAATGAAACTGGGATTTTCACTGCTGGACCCTTCTCTGATAGCAGCAAGGAAAACTGATGTCTCTGAAGGCTAAGGCCAGGTACAGACATTACACTTTTATTGGTATAAGCGATCAGAAACTGGTCTATACCTGTAACAGAAGAGGTTTGGCGCGCACAGACTGGTTTAAAAATGGTGGAACCCCGTCAAAGATTTGCTTCGTCTCTCCCCACTGCCCCCTGCCAAAGGGCGAATGTGTTCAGTTTACTACTGATCTAAACTATGCCACTTACAGAAAATCGCATAACTTAGATCAATTCTGCCTAAGGCTTTTTGAATGTCTGTACCTAGCCTGAAGTTTCTCTCCCCTGGGTGGCTTCTACAACCTGCCTCTTCACAGAAGCTGACGAACGGCTCCCAGTAACTATGTTATTCATTTGATATTATCATGAGATTCCTTTTGTCCACATTAGAGTCAACTAAAGGGCATATGAGCACAGAGATGAGCATATAGCATCCCTTCCTAGCTTTAATAATGTTGAAGCCTGTCTGTTATTGCTTCACAAAACATCCCACATGTCTATTATTGCTTGACTTGCATGTCCTTTTTGGTGGATTCTGTCATATAGAAATGAAGGGATCTAGGTGTAAAGAGACTTCACACAGCCAGAATTCTGAAAGAAAAATTATCATTATTTGTTCCCTCTGGTTATTGGTACAGCTTGGATGCTGGGATGTTTTAAATAAAATTCAGCCAAGTCTCATTCAATAGCATGCTCTTGGGCATGACTACAGAGCACTGTCAAAAGATTATATTTAGTTTTATAATGTATTAACATAAATCTGTATGTATATATACACACATATATGCCATAGAGACAAAAGCCCACAAAATACATGAAGTAATTTAAAGAGCAGGGTATTTTTTTAATATACATTAAACGATTCTTTTTGCTGTGTGTGTAAACATTTGGGAAATTCTGCAGCAGAAGGCACTTAATACTTTGACCTAGTAAATAATGTGCAGGCTTGTGTCTTCCACTTGCAACACAACTGGATGTTAAAAACAGCACTGTAGTTATTACCTTGCAACCTGGCCTACCAGATATTATAAATCTCATGGTAGGTTTCTGCAGCAGGCATGTTGTATCTGATACTGCTCTATTTCATTCTTCTATTTAATAAAACACTATCTATTTAGCAGACATAACAGCCAAACAACAAATTTCTTGCCATGTAACAAGAGCTGGTGGTAATGAAAGTTATGTCACATGTTTACATGTATGTAAGCAGTATTTTCTATATCTTATATTGTCAATAGTATTTTTATGGTTAATAACCCAAATAAGAACTTTATACTCATTTTAAACATTTGAACTTCGTAAGCATGAGACATAAAATCATTATGTGTATACAACTCTAATGGATTGCGGTATGAGTTCTGTCTTCATTTGCTGAAGCTATGACTTCAGCTCCATTACGTGACGGTTTGTGAACTGCTGTTGACTATCTTCTGAGAAGAGTTCCAGACAGTCCTAGTAAGGTGTTTATGGTGTACCATTAATACTTCTGCACTCTCAATTCAATTTACATCCAAAACAGATATAGTTTGAATATAGGTTCATCTAGTTTAAGAGTTAAATAGAAAAAAAACTTGACTATGCAAAGAGAGTAAGAAAATGTAGTATGTTATATTTCCTTTTTGGTATCAGTCTATGCTGTGAGTGCCTAATGTTGGTGGTATGTGAGAAGGTCTGTTCCAATCTTTGAATAGCAAAGTGCTTCAAACGCAAAATGTTCAGCTTTTGCATTGTCTCATCTTGCAAAATTAAGTTAAAAAAATACTGGCACAGATTCACTCATTTCCAAATAAAAGGTTTTTAAAAATCATGCTAAACATGCTCTTGTACAGAGTATAACCACCACTCAATTAAGTAGTTCCTTGGCAGAAGGGCAGAGATCAACTATATGCTCACAGATTCCACTTTTGACATCTTGCAAAAAATCCCATGTGAATAATTCTAATCAACCATCATGTAAAGACATGGTTGTGTACCAGTTCCACACTGGGCCATTCCTGACTGATTCATAGACAGCAAGCAGTCTGCACAGTGCTGAATGAGTCTTTCAACTGTACAGTAAGATGAGTATAATTGTCAGAGACAGGAACATTGTCAGGAAGATCCCAATTCACAGAAGTTTAAATGTGTGGTCAATCTACTTGGTTACGTCTGTGTAATTAGGTAGAAGGGCACAAAAACGTCTGCATAGATTATATTTCATGGAATACTCATTGATTTCCTGTTTAAACAGCTTTGATGTGATACTTTTTGTCCTGATGGATTCTGAAGTGATGTCAAAGTTCTTTAGTTTCAGTTTATGCTGTCCTTATGGCTGCTTCGATCTATATGGTGGTTGTTCAACTCTTGGTTTTTCCACTGAATGCTTGTTCCGTTCATTGGCACTGAAGTCACTAGACTTTTAGACTGGTAGCAGCAACAGCACAGACATGACTAGAAAGAAAAAGGATTTCAAAGAACATCAATCTATAGGCCTGCACTCTGCCTTCAAATTCAGAAGCATACATGGATCCCCAAATGAAGGCAGCTGATGACAGGCAGAGTTTGACCTTAAATTGCATGTGGTGCTTTTAATTACTCTTCACAACACCAACAAATTAGGGGACTCTCCATTCTTGGTTTAGGCAAAACTTCCAGCACATCAAATGGAAATTCCTTGAGTGCTGGGACATTTTCTCAACAACAGCTGCAGCCCTATCCTTGTTCCACTATGCTACAAATGAAGGCAATATTGCTAGACAAGGATTAGCAACAGCAGACTAACAAGGATGGAGAAAAAAGAAGGGAATCCTCCTCCTGATGCTTTGTCCCTGTCTGTCTCACCCCCATCACATGAACACTCTTATGTAAAAAACAGAAAGAAGAAGGCGCAAAAGCAGACAAATGTCTGCGGTCAGGGGAGTGGTATAATGGAAATAGGTAAGGTTGCTCTATTTCTCATGGATTGGAGGAGGAAATGAATCAGGTGTAAACTGATTGGGTTTTTACAGACTGAGGCTACATTATCTCCTCTGAAAAATGTAACAGTTCAGCATGCTTCCTCTGACTTGTATTCACCTTAATGGAAAACAATGTCTGTTCCTGTGTAGCTGGGATTTCCTCTTACAGCTCTTTAGGGAGAAGGGGAGTGAGGGTGAGAATCCCAGTGCAATAAAAGCTGTGGAGTAGCAGTGGGAGTGCTGCAGAGAGGTAGGGTTGAGCTTAAAATAACTACAATGTATCCCTGTGGGTTGAGACATAAATTCATTGTATTGGTTCAGAGGCAGGTGGAATAACTCACTTGAATGTGGGGAGATGGCCTGGATTAGCTGTACTGATAAAGTGGAATGTGGGATGTGATTTATGGTGAGTGGATGGGAGGGATAAATTTATTTTATGGTGGGGATTAGGGTATAGCCTGACCTAGTTAACCTGGAGCTGCTGGAGAGGAGCTGCGCGATCTGTAATTGTATTTGAGGGGTCAGGCAAGGAGTTAGTTAATTGTATTTGGAGCAGTGACAGAATGGGCTACCCCTCTTTTCCTAACCCCTTATCCCTGGTATTCAGTGAGCGCATCTACATGAGACACTTACTGTGCAATAGCTCGTTACTACTGCACGGTGGTTTCGCTGGGCATCAACTGTGACGTGATGCTACTGCAAAGTAGTAACAAGCTACTGCACAGTAGTAATGAGCTACTACGCAGCAAGTGTCACTAGGCAACCATGCTGGGATGCTGCTGTGCAGTAACACCAGTTACTGTGCAGTGGGTGCCTCGTGTAGATACACTCAGTGAGAGGTCCAGGCCTAAAGTCTCTCCATGGTCCCCAAATAATATGAAGCAGATTGATCCCTGCCCTTTCCCCTGGTTAGAGTTTATCAGATTGAAAAACTGTTTTTGGGGTTTTTTTTGAATAGTAGAAACATCCTTTGAAACTACTTAATCAATTAATGTTTATCTAGGTGGACTATGTCAAACTAAGAATTTATTGGTTTGGTGCCTAAAACTAGCTGGATATTTTCAGCTCTCAGTTTGGTATGTATACTATGTGACCTTCTGGCTAGCAAATTAGATAATTTATAATCCTTCATTCCTTTATATGCCCCTTCTTAAAACTGATAACAAATAAATAATTACTAAGTGCTCGACTATAACATATCTACTGGGTTTAAAGTCAACATTTAAAAAGAAAAAGGTCTTCAGACAGAAATCTTACCTGGAAACAGTTTTTAAACTTCTTGCTGACAAAATAGAGAGCAATTGGGTTTATACAAGAGTTCATGGTTGCCAGGTTGATGCTGATGTAATCCAGTGACAACAAGAAACTGGACAACAAGAAAGTAAAATAGAAAGCAAAATAATTACAACCATTTATACATTGCAAAGGCATTAATGTTATACATGGCCAATTTTTCTGATACAAAGATTAATTATTCACTGCTTATCTTATTCCAAGGTAGGCAATACTTTAAGCATGGTCTGCCTGAAATAACTGGCCTAAGGCTCCACTATGGAAAAATGAAGGGAAAATGTACATAATGGTAATAAAACAAATTTGGCTGTTACCCACCCCCACTGAAGACTGCAAAATGGAGGTGCCAATGCAACCAACTTTCTAGTGTTTGGTTACATATATAGCTGCAGGGACAACAAAATTATGAAATAGTAAACTCTGGGCAATGATTCACTTTTTTTTCATTGTGAATGTTTGGGATAAGAAAAAACGTAGTACCTAAGCAGTTCGCATCTGTTAAGGTCTTTTTCATTGTATACCGTTTTCTTCAAAATTCGACTCAAATGGAGAGGGAACCAGCAGAGCGCAAAAATCACTACTAAACAGAAAACAGTTTTGGCAACTTCTCGACGCTGAAGAAAGAAAAAAAAAATCCAAAAGATTATTGATGCCTGTCAATGTAGTTGCTAAATGATGATTGGGCAAGCTGGCAGTCTGAGAAAAGCTATGCTATTAAGTGTTACTTATCAGACCCTAATCTTCCACTACATATTTAGGGAACAACTATCATAATCAGTGGGTACATCTACACGAGATGCTTTACTGTGCAGTAGACTAACCTTCTGTGCAGTAAAGCGTCACTATGTAACCGTGTGCAGCAGCTATTGCATATTGAAATAGGCTAATGCATGGTTTTCTACTACCTGTAAACAGAAGTAGATTTACTGTGCATTAGCTAATGTGCAGTACATGGTACAAAGCACATGGGTACATAGCTGACAGGGAGCAAATTGCTCCTGATCAGCCCAGGCAGCAGGGAGTGGGAGAACTGTCCCCTCCTCCAGGCAGCTGCCTGTTGCTGGGCCCCTGCTCCGATCAGCAATTCAGAGACAGGGCTGGGACAATATCTCCTGCCCCAGCAGCTGCCTGGCTGCCAGACTGATTTCAGAGCAGGGGCCTGGCAGGATCAGAGTGAGGGCGCAGCAGGAGGGAGCTGCTGGGACAGGGGACATTTTCCCAGCCCTGGCTCTGATCTCAGAGTAGGAGCTTGGCAGCTGCTTGCAGGACTTTAAAAACAATTTTTTAAACAGCTGGGACACTGGGGCCAGGCGGTGCAGCCGTTGACAGGGCTGGGAGAGCAGGCAGGGGATAGGGCCTGTTTGATTCGGAGATTCGGCCAATTTGGCAGTGCCTGAATCTCTGAATCAGATTTGGCCGAATCGATTCAGGACAGCGATTCAAATCACCAAATCAAATCACTGTCCCCCGAAGTGTCCGAATCTGAATCCGGAGCTTTGCACAGGCCTAATGGATGGATTCTTCCCTATACACCCTTCTACTTCTAATGGCTTGAGTAGATTCTGTGGGTACAGGACACGTATCCCACGCCTGGAAAGTCAAAAGATTGTCTAACCTGCTCTCAGCTACCCCTGCTCTGCCTAAATAAACTCTGAAAAGTGCAGGGAAAAATCTCACAGAGCTCACTTTGTGCTATGAAGGCCCTTCCCTTGGGCAGTGGGACTGTATGTTTTGCTTCTAGAGGGTCATTCACAGATGTAGATACAAAGCCAAGAAATGAGGAGCTGAAGTAAGAGTTGCACTCATTTGCCAGATCATAATAGCAGGGACCTGGCTACAGGTTGTTTTTTTTGAAGTTGCAGTCCAAAATGTGACATAGAAAAGGGCTACAAAGAAGGAAAAATATGGTCTGAAATTACACCTCTCTCTCTTCTTTGGTCCATTCATAGTAGCAATGTGGGGTGCATCAGTGACAGCAGCATATCCCTTCTCTCTATTTTTATCACTGTCTATACCTATTCAGAGAAGATCCAGATGACACAATGGTAAAATGCCGATAGCTGCTCGCATGCTATCTGTGCTTGTGCTCTTGCTCCCATTGGTACAGTCACTCTGGTGGGTGTGTGCCAGTGGGAAAACTCTAAAATAATTCCAGCCTCATTTAGATAAGGCCGAAGTGTTTATAACGAGAGTACTCTGCCACTGATCTCTTTATTCAGAAAGTTTACATTATTAGGATGCACGAAAGCCGGGCATTTTATACTTATGGAGAAAAATTCAGGAAATGTATTTTTAGCAAATCTTTGTAGCTGGTTTCCAAGGAATTTTAGCCAGCAGAGTATCGAGGTTAGAGAGTGAGTGAACAGGACTGTCACACTTGCTAAGAAAAGGAAATAAACATAGGTTAGTCACTTGAACATGCTGTCTCCCATATCTGCTTATACTATAAATTATTCTTACATTCTGGGCTTGGTTGAATACCTCAGGGTCAAAAGTCAGCTGCAGCCTCACTTTCTATTTCTGGAATTCATTTTATTAAAAGCCATTTTGAAAGATTGCTAAACTTGCCTGTAGACACAGCAGTAGTGCTCCTCAGTTCTAGATTTCCTTAATATTTACCTGCTTTAGGTGTTCGCTGAGAGCGATTCTCAAGTTGCTGTTCCTCCTGTTTAGCATTTCACATGTCATCAGCGTGTAGAAGACGGCCGTACATGCTAGTGGTACACAGAAATAGAAACCAAACAGCCACCAATCCTTTGCATTTTTGTAAAACTGAAGATAAGGGAAAGAAAAGAGGATACATTTTCTTTAGCTATAATAGAACATATAAAAGAAATATGACTGAGCAGCTAATAGTATTTTTTCTGAGCCTTCTGACAGGGAATCTCTTTAAAGCACCATCAAGATATTTCTTAGGGAATGGGTTAAATTTATCTAGTTCCTACAGCTTGTTTGCCATTACTTTTTCTTAATTAACATCTGAAATGTATTATTGGAATTAGCAGTAATCCCATATTATAGCCTCCCTAGCTTTATGGGTAATCTTGCCCCTTCTGATTAAATCAAATAATTATAAATCATTTTTTTACAGTGGATTCTGCCCATCATATTATGTCCTGAACTACCAGGCTACTTCACTATCATGGAAACAGGGAGATGACTTTATACGGACAAAATAGGGACTTGGCAGCGGCATCAACATTCTGCTTACCATGGTAATAATTTGTCTGTACCTTTGTTGCAATCCATTTTGGGCTAGAAGCAATTTCTTGTGGAAGTACGTGCTGTGCATTTATGCCCAGTCATGACAATTGTAACTCAACTCCTAACCATACAAATTACTTGCCAAATTGAAATAAGCATCAGTTTGACTCCTAAAAATAACACAACCACTAAGCTGTGTATTAAACCTGTGTGACAGCAAGTCTTGACAAGAGCCTTTCTCAACAAAAGTCATTTACCTTTTAAGGCTCCTGTAAACTGTTTTGGATTCCAACTGGGCAGGTTCAAAATGTCTTGTTAGTATAATCAGCCTCTGCTATCAGTAGAAAGATTACTAGTAAGTTTGCTTATGTGCTAGGCAGATAGAAGCCACTTAATGTGTGCTGGTCTGGAAAATGTGAAGCTTAAGACTGGCCACTTCCAATGGATTCAGCTTTTAAAACTTTCCCTGGAATGCACACTATGCAACTTTTTCATGACAGGAAAGCAGGGCCATCAAAAATTTACTTTTATTTTCCTATATAATAATCAAATACTTGAAGCAGTGTAGGGGCACTATTACGTCTGACAAAACCTTACAAAGTGTATTCCTCTGATGGCAGCTCTAATTACAAATTTGAAGAAATATTATATTCTTTTTCCATATTTAAAGGTTCACTTTTATGCTTAGCCAAAACTGTGTATTGAAACATGGCATCTTGAATGCTCCCTGTTTCTAGGTTATTAGTCACAGAGATAGATGCGTGTAAAGGGGATCTTGCTTTCGCATAATCTTTTCCCTAGCTTGTTTATTCCTTGCGGATGTAATTTTACTTGTAACATCACAGTTCCCACACCAAAATGTCACAATACTAATAACTGAGGATTTTGTGACTCCCTACTGCCGAATAAAGAGGTCAGAGGTCTAAAATCTGTTTATGTATAAAAACTGAACAGCAATAAATGTCTGAAGATGAAAAAAAAATGAAGCAGATTGATTTCTGTTAATTTTTCGGCTCTTTCATCTATAGAACTATTAGTTACATGAGAACCCTTGAGTTGCTGAGAAACAGTTTTATCCCTGGATAGGTAGAGGTAAAGGAAAAATGTATGCTCGCAGGCCTTATTCTGCACCTTTTCCTCGCGTTGACTGGCACATCTCAATACTCCCACTGAAGCCCAGGGGCAAGTCAGTGAGAGAAAACTACTCAGTGTAAGATTGTTCAGAATCAGGCTCAAAGGGAATTCTCCTCTAGACTGATTTCAGCTTTTAAGTAGGGTGAAGCCCAGTGCACTTGGGCTCAATTAGAAGGCTCCAGCAGCCAAAATATAATTTTGTTCAATTTAAATCAGCTTCAGAGAACGAAAACATCTGTGTGCCTATTGAGTTCCTACAGTTATAAGGCTCCTTCCTTCTGAGTTCAGAGACATCCAGAATTGAGACCTGGGAAGGTAGTGCTGGCAAGGAAGAGTAAAGGGAATAATATCCTGGAGGAGGTCACAGAGAGCTACAGGAAGTTGCAGAAGGGGTTCCCTTACAGAAGCTCCGCAAATACGTAAATTGAACTGGCATATAATCATGGTATCTTGGCCACATGCTCATCCCAGGTGACTTTCTCATTAACTTTTCTACTCTCTTCTTCTCCTCCCCATCATAATGTGGAAGAGGGGTTGCAAGTATATGCACAGCTGCATTTCCTTTTGGATAGAATTTCCCCTGCTGGGGCTCCAGACTATTTTTCTGTCAGAAGAAACCCGGAAGAGAAACAATATTTTAAAATATTTTTGCTGCCTAGGTTGTGCTGGTGGAGAGTGCCCGTTGGCACCCTAGCTTGCAGAGAAGTGGGAATTGTATGTACATGCAGACAGAATTCTCTCTCCTAGGACAAGATGTTCTTCAAGCTCAGGTTTAAAGTGTGTTAGTAGGATAGTGTTGGGGCATCTGCAACCTATGATCCCTGGCGTACACGTTCTATACCTAAAAAGAACACTTCCATTTCTATAGTGGCAATCCAACAGCTTTCATAAGCACTGCATGTCTAAAATAAAGGAAGTTAAATAAGCAAAACAACAACAACAGAATAGCCCTAACCCAGGGCTCTGACCAACTTGTTGATTCTGCATGGAGGACTGACATTTGGAAATTTCCAAGTTATAAAACCTACACGAATGTCTGTAAATGATTAATTATGGAATCTGAGTTTCACCAAGCTTACATCAAAGCACAAAACTGGGTTGATTTATGAGAAAAAGGCATCCTTTTGTTTTTCTTGCAAGTCCACATGGAACTAGTTTTCTACAGGAAATGTGCATTTAAAACACATTTCCTAATGCACTCAGCCTCCTGGGATTCACATCTCAGCTCAAATCTTCCAAAAGACGACTTTAAAGATGAATGTCCCCTACTACTAAATAGTCTTATAGCCCTCCCAAAATGCATTGACTGTGTGTTACAGTGGTTGTGATAGTGGATGCTATAGTTAGAGTTGAGAAGCACTTTTCATTTTAATCTACTGTTTTCACTCACTTGCTACATATTACAACATTATTCTTTTCAACTGATACTTCCCATACTTATCTCAGCTTGAAATTTTACACAATTTAATTTTTTTCGAAAATCAAACCACAGTTGTTTTTGGAGCTTTTGAGTTCCGTGAGTACATAAAGTATTCCTTTTTTTTTGCTTAAAAATCTAGACTTTTATGTTTGGATAGTGCAACAAAAATGGAACAAAAATAATGAAATGTGACATGCCCACGATCCTTCCCAAGAAAGAACTTAGGTTTAGGAGGGGTGAAGAACACTTACTCTTTCTCATGGGGAAAAGGGAGTGAGCTGAGTCAATCCTGTGTTGGGGAAGGAGAGGCCATTAAACTTCACTTAAGAGGAAGGGAACCAGGATACTATTTTTGCTGAGTACACTTTTAAATCATGATGACTGCATGTTCTACATTATATTTGCTCCTTATTCCTACAAGTTATGGACAGTTTCGTTCTGTCCCCACCAGTAGGAGAGCACCATACCCAAGCAGGAACAGTTATTTTTCTCTTGCCCTTGTTCCCCCTCCCAAACTAGGACCCATATAAGTGTCAAATTTGGCACTGGTTTATATTCCATGTATTCCAAATGAAGTTGCTGAGGCTGCATTTCTGCCAAAAAGAACAGTCAAAACTAAACACAGTTGATTGCTAAACACTTCCAATGTACCTGTTAAATTCTCACCCACACAGAGTTCTGACCCCATAAAGGGAAAAATGCCAGAGACCCCATTAAGTCCTAACAGTTTTACTCCTTGGAGATTTTGTGATGACTAATGGTAAGGAAAATCATAGCTCCAATAGTATCAGAAGAGGCAAAATGCCTCCAACTCAATGTTACATATATATCTTGGCATTTAGTGTCTTACACATAAAACTATATATTACTGTAGGTTTTGTATTTTGCATGAAACATGATGCTATGAAGTATTCAGAGTACTTCATATGATTACTACTATTATTTTTTAATACAGAGGTGTGCATGGCACTTTGAGGAGAAGTTGGCTTGCTAACACAGACCCAGTAAGAGATTTCTTGATAAATGCCACAACTTCGCAAATGTTAACCTCTGTGAGAAGACAGGGTAGATGAATGATCATAAGGTATACACAATAGGCTATACCATGGCTTGTTCTTGTCCTGATCAACACAATGACTAGAGCTGACTGACTGCATGAAGAGTAGATGGTTACCATATTTATTTATATACCACATGTACCTTTTCCCCAAAAACACAGCCCTCCAAAATTGGGGTGCATGCCTGGAGCGGGGAACCTGATTTTCTCCACCAGAATTTCACTGCGTGGAGGCACAGAAGCACAAAGACATGGTGCTACCAGATGGCTGGCAGCTTCTCTCCTGCCAGCAAACAGGAGGAGGGGAGGGGGCAACAGACCCAGACCAGTGCTAAACCTTTCACAGTCTCTCTCAACTTGAATCCAAGTTTGGTATGTTTTATTGCTGTAACAAGGATATGGGTGATAAGTTATACAGTAATGGGTACCACCTTGGTACTATATAACTTGAATTTCTTTACTACGGGACAAATCTTGCCAAAAAGTGGCACCAATTTGAGTGGTTGTAAAGGGGTTAACATGAATTCTCCCTTCTGCTTACTGGAAGCCATCTTGTAGCAGTGTCTTCATGAAAAAGCCAGCTCTAGATTATGACTCTGGAAAAAATCCCCCCCCCTCCATTTTGTCTTCCCCAAAAAAGGTGTGCATCTTATTTTGTATTTGGTGAGGTATGAGAAAATGAAAGGCTAAAGGCACATTGCCTTCTATGCCTGGAAGCCCCAAGGAAGATTATACCTTCTATAAGCACTGGGCTTCTAGTGGACCTGCTACATTGATAGGCCTGTGCAGTGCACCCCAGCAATTCAGGGCTGAATTGTAAAATCATAACAGAGCCTCTGCAAAAAATAAACTTGGGCTAGCAAACAAATGAGTCTAGCTACAAGTCACAGTTACCGTACTAGCAAGCTAAAATGAAGTTTCCTTTTCCAACCACCCTACTGGAAACTTTAAATAAAGCTTTGTTTAATTCTAAAAACATAAGATCCTTCAAATGTCTATGTTTTATACACTGGTAACTGCAAAAAAAGAAGGAAAACTGTTGATAAATATATACGTACCACCATAAATGGGCTTGTAGCATTGAGCATGCAGGTAGTGTGGTGTTCATTCTTGTATCTGAAAGGTACCATGACAAAACCAATCGCCTCTGGAATAGCCAGTATGAAGGAGAGAATCCAAATGGAGAAAATTTCAATAGCAGTGATCATAGGGATTCCAATTCCCTGTACACGACTCCAGGAAGCAACTGCCCTGTACCTAAAATAGAAAAGCACTGGGTTTCAGTGACCAATTTTCTCAATTAAAATTTAGAACTTTGGTGCAGGCTTAACATATCAGGAATTGACCTACATTTCTTAAAATCCCTCAGGTGACATTTGCCCAGTGCCAGCGTGGGGTCTGTTACCTGTCTGAGTGAAGACCTAGTCAGCCAGGAGAGCTGTAGCCCTGAGAAGACAGAGCATGTATGCAAGTGTTTGCATAGGAAGGCAAATAAATCTGTAGGCAGCAAATTAATGAGTTCTACTATGTGGTGGTCAGTTTCCCTAAAATCCTGAAAAAAAAATCACTCATGAAAATGCAACTGTCTTGTTTACCATTTCAAGTGCCATTTGTCATATATTTTACAGCAGATGTGTCAAAAGATACAGCCCACAGCTGTATCATCTGGTTCCTGGTACTGCCCATGTGCCTTTGAATGAACCACAGGCAGTGGGTAGGGTGTGCTAGATGGCCCCTTTGAGAAGCCCAAGGAGCGATGGAGCAGTCACCACATGCAACACAACCTCAGAGTGGCTGTGTGTAGCTCTGGGGCTGTGCTGCATGCGGTGGGGGCTTTGGGGCCTTGTGGCACAGCCCAGCAGCAACAAGAGCAGGATGGGAATGTGGGGCCAGTCTGTCAGTTCAGTCTGGCCAGCAGAGCAGCTCCACACCACTCATCTGGCCCATGCCACCAGATGCATATGTTTTACAGGCTGACATACATTATATGGTAATTTCTAGACAGGCCTCAGAATACAAATACTAAAGGACTGTCAATCCAGTCTCAACATCTACATCACTGTTGCTATGAGAAATTTAAGTACACAGGTAAGAAAATCTGAAAATCCATGCTAAAAACAGCACACTCTTTCTAAAATGCTAAAATCAAGTGGTTACTTTTAAGTTGAAGCTATTCATATGAGGTTACTCCTATCCAACAACAGCTTCAATAAATGTGCACCTAGCATATGAAACAGTTCAGCAAAGGCAGTATGATCTCATAAACAGGCCTCCAGTATTTGTTCCTATAATAATATCAAGGGTTTACTGTGGCCTGATGGGTTTATTTGTGTTATTAATGCACATCCACTTTGAAAACCGTTTATACTTAATTTGTTTGTTTACTTCCTTAAAAAATGTACTAAGTCACCATCTGGAAATACTGTACTGTTTTCATTTATGGGTATACCATGTCATCCACTACAGAATTATTTTTTTTTAATTTGGAAAACCAAGGAGATACCCAGGAAAGGCCATTCATCTGCTTACAAAATGCTAATTTACAATATGAAAGTGGGCCCAATGAAACAGTTAAAATACTAAAGGGATGTGTGGTAATTTTAGTGCCTGGGGAAAGGTTCCAAGTCCAACTCCCAACAATGCATTGGTGGACTTGTGAATTAAGTTCTGTGAAGCAAGGGTGTCTGGTAAGAAGATTGAATCCATGGATGCAGAAATCTATTAAGAAAAATCTGCAGCAGCATGACCATAAGATTACAGATAGAATAGATGTGGCAGGTGACAGGGCCAATATCTTAGCACTTAATAGATTAGAATTCTTCCCTTTGGTACATATAGCACTATTATACAACACAGTTGCAAACCAAAACTTATAACAGCGGAGTTGCAAGGTTAGGGAAAAGTTCCTTCCTAATATTAAATATTTTAAGGGGAATATTAGTATAAATGAAAGGTCTATTAAAACATCCAAATTCGAATTTGGACTTGAAGGCAAAACCTAACAATTTTAAATGTATTCTTATAAATATAGAATGCCTATGTACTGGATGACAAGAGTTCATTTGCTAAAGAAGAGAACAATGAAATTGTTCAGCAAAAAAAAAAAAAAGCTTGGATGGCACATGACACTAGTTTGGTATATGTCTTTTGGTAAATGAGCTACCTTGGGGTATCTCTGTCAGTGCTGTATTGTGCTATGTAGACATACGAATGGAACCTGATCTCCTGTGTATTAATGGCCACCCTTTAGGAGGCAAATCTTAGACTCAATTCTTCCATTTTTAAACCAGTCTACATGTGCTGAACTCCTGTTCTGTTACAGGTATGGACCAGTTTTGTGTGCCGAACTTCTGTTCTGTTCTGGGTATTGACCCAGTTCTGATCACTTATACCGGTAAAAGTATAATGTCTGTACCTGGCCTTAGAACTTTTAATTTTGTCTCCCAAACTATAAAGTTTCTAGGCTAGAAATATCATATTTTCATTGTGTTTAGGGTTGGTCATTTTGTTTGTTTGTTTTTTCTTGAGTTATTGGCAAGGCAAAAGCATGTGCAACTTTTTAAGCCTAAGTTCATTTTTTTCCTGTGACAATAATTGAAATAACAACCGTTTATGTTTTCCTTCCAACTCTCCAAAAGTATTTACAACTTTTTTACCTCTGATTCCTTTTTTTTTCCAAAAGAATTTACCTCCAAGAACTTACATTTAGCTTAACTTTGTCCTGTTAGGATATAGACTGGTTTCCAATCACTTATACTGGTAAAACTGTAATGTTTGTATCTGGCCTAACAAATGCTACAAATGTTAACTATTGAAGTAATCACTGCAACAACCCTAGAATATACTGTGGTTAAGTTTCATATGTAATGTTATTCCCATTTTACAGATATAAAGGCTGAGAGAGAAAGATTATGAGCCAATCCAGGACAAAGTGGTGTCATTGTTAGAACTGGAATTAGAAAAATTAAAGTTTCTTGCTCCCAGTCCTGTGCTGCCTCTCCTCTTCCACAAAGTACAGTATTGCAGTAAAGGTAAAATAAAACTTTACATACACAGGATGAGATCTGTACGTTTGCCTCTCATCTAACAACCGTCAGATTGTCTGGGACATAAGAAATAGTAAAGCTCAGGTTGGGAAATCTCCTTCCTTTTAGTCACAGTCAGACTCAGTTAAGAAAAGATTCAGACTGTAGTCATCACCATGACCTAGAGTTTAAAAATGCCTGACAGGCATATACAAAAAATGTGTTTTCTTTGAAGGGTGAATGGCTGGTATAGTATTGCCTGATAGCCTCTGAAAATCAGCTCTACACATGAACAGTACAGCTCCCTCTGGGCATGTACTGTTAAATTTTAGTGTGCTATCCAAAACCATTTTGTATATAAGGGGCATAAGTAATGAATAAGGTTTTACAGTAGAGAGAGGATGCAGTTAAATGCAGGGACAAATCTTTGCAGAAAGGAACAGACATTTAGTTCCTGAATTAAAGAAAGCAAAAGACAGTTACAAAAGCAACTGTGACCAAAGCTATGGAAAGCTGGATTTTACTGACTCAGCATATGTCTACACTGGTGACAGCACTACAATGTAAAGATATCTGAGCCCAATTTAAATGTTTTAGCTTGGGTACCGAAGCACTCTAGCCATTACAGCACAGAAGTCCTAATAGGTTAATCTATGTTAAGTAGCCTTGACTGAGCCTCATAGTAACATATTGCTTCTGGAACCCAAAACAGCTTCTCTAAACCTAGCTCTGGTATCTCTACCTTACTCTGCAGTCTGAATGTAGACAGACCATGAGCTTGTGTGGTGTGGATGCTGGGAAAGCAGTGGCAGTGGGCATATCTACACGTGCATTAATGTGCGGTGGTTACTGCACATTAAGTTTAGTACCTGTAATAACAGGTACTAACTAAATGCACATTAGTACCAGCCCACAGCTTTTAAGTGATGTTAATGCGCAGTAGACTAATTCTACATGGCTTTTGCTGTGCTGTGCTAATGCACAGCAGAATTAGTCTACTGCATATTTAGCATCCCTTGTAGATGCGCCCGGTGGTTGCTATTTTTGCGCCTTCTCCCTCGAAGCTGGTGCCCAGGGATGGGGCCCCAGTTGCCCCACCTCTCTTCCCAAACTCCAGTTATGTAACAACCAATTTGGGGGCTTTACTTCTAAACCAAAGTTATTTTATTAATGACCAAGTAAAACTTTTCCACATACTTTATTGCATAGTCCTCTATGAAAGCAGTTGTTAAAGTGGCAACACCCTGTCTGGACTTCCCTTGCCAGACAGATTTTTACTGGACGTTGCCTCAGTGTGCAGACTTTTTTCCTCTGCCATGATTCTCAGGTTGTTTTATATTTTAATAAGCTCTTGATATAACAAAGACAATTTTTTTTTACCTACAGAATGTAACTATACTACTGGTTTTGCTTATTTTTAGCACTCATCTGGTTATGTTTGACTAGAAAACAGTCATTTAATTTTTCCATGTGGTTTCAAGACTTCTTACTGCTAACACTAGCCTGGAAGCTCAGAACACACAGCTGATGATTCAGTTTTGTGTATAGATTATGGATTTGAATAACAGAAAATGGCATTTGAGCGTGTTTATAAATTTTACCAAAAAGTTTTTGTGCTTCTTGCAAAAAAAGAGATTAATTTGGTTATGACAGTTGGGGTTTTTACTATAAAACCTATTTTGTTTGTTCTTGGGTTTTCTTTATCAAGGTTTAGTGCAAAATACCACCAAGTTTAATACACAAATTGTGTAAAAATATATTAAATGATGTCGTGTTAATGAAATGATACCCAGTTGAAAGCAGCAATCCCCAAAATGATGCTGATTTAGTTGGTATGAAAAACAAGATGGGCTGTTTAAAAATGTACACGTTCCAGAATGAAGATTGATAATTTGCTAATGTCTCTAACTGAAATGCATCTAAAACATTGATTTATTAACTGATATTTCTTTAATTGCATCCACAATAAAAAAACTTGAAAAGTTTGGTGCTTTCTGCAAGTATTGGATCTAAGCCCTGAAAAACTATCTTCAAAAATCATGTGGGAATACTATTTGCCTTGGCTCAAAACTCTTGTTTGAAGAAGAAACATCAATTTGTGAGATTGTGTTCTGAAAAACAGTTCCTATACTAACAACGTATGTAAAATTTATAGCTTTATGGGATAAATTCTGACCAGTGCAATCCCAGTGGATGCAACCGTTTTCTTGTGTATATTGCTTTAAACTGGTAATAACTCCACCGAAATTGATTATCACTTATAGAACACTCCTTACAAACGTTCATTGATGTGTACTGCAACACTCACGTACCATTTCTAGTGAAGTATAAAATTTATGTAGGATTAGAATCTGTTTCATCTAGTTAGGCCTTAATACTTAACTTCTTCTCCTATGTTATATGCTTTGCTGAAAATATATTATTTAGTACTTGCCACTACTGTAGTAAATATTTGCAGAGAACATGTGTGAAGAAATAGATACCAGGCAAGATTTCAGAGGGCACATCTACACATTCATTAATGCACCTTTGCTACTGTACATTAAGTTTAGTACTTCTGCACACTTTTACATGTGCTCCATAGGTGGAGGCTCCAAGAGCCACTCTAATTAAAACACCTCCGTGTCTCGTGTATCAGCATCCCTGGGCTTAAAAATGGTGGCAGGAGCACTTGAACTAAAGCTTGTTCAATGAGCCTTAGTTCAAGTGACCCCACCACCATTTTTTAAAACAGCGACATTAATACATGAGATGCAGGAGGCTCCTGGAGCACGGTAATTGCCATGCTCTGGACTTCCAGCACATCAGAGCAGCCTTTGTGCTCATGTATAGGTGCCTTCTAATATGAGGTACTACATAAAGGCTCACTAGCCTGTGCTAATGCATAGTAGCAAAGGTGAATGGGTTTTTTTTTGTGATGCTCAGTGTTCAGTAGACTAATTGTACTATACATTGGCACAGTTTTTGTCACGACATGCTGATGTATAGTAAAATAGGCTACTGCATATTATGGTATCTCATGTAGATTCACCCAGTACCAGTTATATTAGTACTAGAAAACTAGAGACCCTGGCCAAGTCTACACAGTATGCTGACTGTGTGGTAGCTCGTTACTACTGCGCGGTAGTGTCAAATGACATGAAGTATGATGTGACACTACTGCGCAGTCAGCATCACCCAAAAACCATTTTGGGAGTGCTACTGTGCAGTAATGCCGGTTACTGCCCAGTCATTTGGTACCTGAGTATACAAATACTAAGTGACTGTGCAGTAACAACTGTGCGGTAAGCATCTCGTGTAGACACAGCCACTGAAGCCAGCATCTAATGTTAGCAATCTAAAAAAGCAGGCCTGATTTTGTAAGGATGCTGCAGTTCATGGGAACTCAAAAGTGATATATATACAGCTCAATATTCATTGATTGTACATCTAAAAGTCAGGGCCTTTTTTGTTTGGGTGTTTAAACATGAATCTAAGTTCCTGACTTTAGGCATTTCTCAGTTTTGAAAATTTTAGTTTAAATGATTTGTCTGTGGCCACAAAGGAAGAAAGAGTAAGTAAGGACTAGAAAACATGGGTTCTTTACCTCCACTCCTGTGACACTATCCTGTGTTTAGGACAATATTCCACATTGCTTTGTCCCTGCCCAGAATCAAAAGCTATTTGGCACTTTTGGTAGGAGACAAAATGGATTTTAGTTGGTACAATTAAAAAAAAAAGCATCCTATATGCATAGCAGAAGTAGGTCTTAGATTATGAATAAGAAAAGTTGTTAAGAATCTGGTTGTAACTCCTAATAAAACCACACCATTCGGTGCTGTCAGTTTCAGAACACACGCAAGTGCAAGATCTGAAAGAACAAATGGAGAAGTTATACCTTACCTGTCCACACTCAGGGCGCAGAGATTGAGAACTGTGATTCCCACAGATGCCTTCTGTATAAAGGGGAAGAATTTGCAAAGAAATAATCCAAAATCGGAGTTCTCAAATGGCCACCCCTGAGCAAGAAGCTAAGAAAAGACATACAATAATCAGAAACATTGAATGGTGATATAGGCAAAGAATATGTAACAGATTACAATGTCTTGTCTTCAGATTCTGCCCTAATAGCCCTGAATTCTTCATGTTTAAGTATGTCATTAGGTAATGAATGAAACTGGGAGGTAACCAGCTGGTGCAGAAGCATGGAGGGATTAAAGGGGACTGCTTGAACATAAGCAGTGGGGTGGATTAACTGAACAGTGAGGTAGTAACTGTTGTATTATTAAAGGATCCTTTCCTAAAATATTTCAGCTACTCTTACTGCATGCAGAAAATCAAATTCACCCATGCTATAAGCAGGTGCAGTTTCCAGTGTGTCCACCAAAAGCCTAACACTCAAGACATGGTTCAGAATGGTACCAGAGTCCCATGCCTCATGCAAGCAGCCTTGTGTCATTATCAAGGTCTGCTGGACTCAGAAATGCAGAGAAAATCACTGCATACATAATCTGTTCCATACGGCATTTTAAGAGGCTGGCAGCCTGCATGTGGGCCATGGCAGGTGGTGATAGGCAACTGTATGTGAAGGTATGCCTGAGGGGGAAGGGGTCTGGACTACCGTTTTTTCCCTACAAGGCATCAATGCAACAAAAATGAATAAACGTGTTCTTGTATTTAGTAAGGCAACAGTAATATTTATCCTAGCTCTCATTATTAATGCTTGAACAATAAAGATGCTTGCAAATCTTACTTAGACCTTACTGAATAAAAAAAATGGTTGTAAAATACAAAATAGTATATGTAAAAGAGAAATATGAACTCCCTGAGCCTGGCATGTGTTGGGGGTTTTTTCAGAGCCCTGGAGTCTGCATAACAGGAGGCTCCATTTTGAAAGCGGTATAGAATAATAATAATTGTTTCATCCTATTATTTATAACCAATCCTACCAAACAAAGGCATGGCACGCAGAATATTTACATGACACTTTGCAAGAGGTAATCACAGATGTCTTCCATTTGTTTCAGGAGAAGTTGGGAAAGAATATCCAATTATTGTGAAGCGTTGGAGAAACTGTACTACATGCTTCATTGCACAGGATAGCTGGCAACATTTATAACTTAATTAACTAACAAGAATGATTTCAATTCTCCTGAACTTGTGAAGATTCTCAGATCCAGATCTAGGTCTCATTTTCATAGGTGGCCAAGCAAAACTCCAGGTTTGAGCAGCGCCACAGTTTGAAACAGACCCTGGATTCAATAGCTGGCAAAAGATCCAAATTGAAACTTTCTCACACTGGTCCATAGTTCAAGCTTCACAAAGGACTATACCTCCCTCATCCTGAGGAGGTAGTTTACTTCATCTCTCTACATATGGCTACCCAACAAGCTGGTGTAGGCATGGGATGATGCTTCCACCTCCTCTCTCTCTACTGCTTGTGTGATGGTTTGCCTCACACTGCAAGTGTCATTTCTGGCACTTATGCCTACCTTCCCTTCTGTACCCTTGGCTTTTGATTAGTCACAGTCTGCCCCAGACTTTAAATCAAACCAGCTTTGCTTTAAATATTGACTGCTCTCAATATGAATTAGGGCTGTACTTAGATTTAACAATGCAGTGTAAATCTCTATGAGGGTCACAGCATTTGGATGTTCTTGTTTCTGTTTCCTACAGATCTTCTATATATACATGATTTTATTTTCAAATGCCGATGTAATGATCCAGAGGAGGCACAACCAACATTTCCTATCAAGTACCTGTGATGTGCCAGATCCTGGAACCCCTGACATAGGCACAAAGGGACAAAAGAGAGCAGCAAGGAGTCATCCTTCTTGGTTGGGCATTTGTGAAAGAATGGGCCAGAAGCTTGAAGTGGAAGGAAGCATTAGGCTGGTGAGTGGGTCTCATTGTTGCTGCAGTGGCTTTGAAAGCCATAATATCGTCCTATGTAGTGAAGCTGATGGTGTTTTAAATGATTCTGAATCACTTCAGCTCTCAGTAGAGTGCCTAGAACACTGCTTGTTTGGTTCCCTGGGGTGGAGGTAGGGGTTGCTGAAGACCTGAGGGTTTCCAGCATCCATGGTACTATGGCAGCTTGACCATGTAGACTGTCCAGGCCAGGGGCTCATGGCTGCCATGGCTTTGGAAGCACTGATATTTTTAGCTCAAACTGGGCTGAGCTCTTGGCTGTGCATAGGCATCCTGAAAGCCCCAAGACCTCCCAGGTTGAACCAGGACTCTGAGTTTCTAAGCTCCCTTCCAAAGAGCTGGGAGAAACATTTCCTGTCCATGTTTCTGAAACAATAAATCATATACATGTTGTAAGAAAAATTTTAAAACTTGGGCCCATGAGAGACATTAACTTAGAGGTGCAACGGGATCTAATGCGCAATCCAAGCAACTGCACTTCCTGTCATGCAAAACTCTAGAATTTTTGGTTCAGAGATGATACCTTCTAGTAGACCAACCAAGACGTGCAGGAGGTATGATTATGGGTATTGGGCATTAGATCCCATTGCACCATGTTGCTACTGCAGGAAAAACCCAGAATCCCCCTAGCAATAAACTTGGCTCCCTGGCTGGGAGCCCCAGTCAGCTGATGGGGATTCCAAGCCAGTAAGTGCACTATGTCCTTCAGCAGCTAGGAGCCCTGATTGACTGATGTCATAGGTGACTTAGATAGTTACATTTTTAGGAGTGGATTCTAGAATCCACTGCTAATGTGAAGCACATTATTTTTGCTAAATGGAAGATGTATGTGTAGTAGCTCAAGCACAGAACAGAATTATGACTCCTGTGTCCTATCCCATGCTTTTTCACCGAGTGCCTTATAAATTTGGTAAGACATTTTCTTTACTGTACCTCAGCTTTGCTGTCTTTAATACTGGTGTGCTGTTTAGAAGGGTTGTTGCATAATGTTTTCAAACTGCTCTATGACTAGTGCTAGCAGAAATGAAAAATTAAAATTATGAAGTTAATGCACAAGCTCTGGTACCTTGGCTTATAATCAATTCATATTTTGAAAGATAACTCTGCAACCACAAAGTTCAGAAACAGTTTTTAATCAAAGCTTAGGCTTTGAGGCACAATTCCACAGCAAGAATATGTGGATTTTGCAACTGCAGTATTCCAAAAATTAAACTCTGATTATGTCTGTATTGTGGTATGCAAAGTAAATACTTTCCTCTCCAAATCATTTTTCATTGAAACCTATGAATAATCAGGATGCTTACAAATATTCATATGGGTGAAATACTTTGTTAATAAGTTATGGTCTTCAAACCAACTGAATTCAAACTGGAAAAAGTTTGAAATATTTTACTAAAGAAACATATTTATTGTTCAGAGGATGTAGGCATTTAATTTCTCCTTGATGATCATCTCTGACCTGGTTTTCTGATATTTTCCCTGTGATAGGGGGCCAAGTTAGGGCTGGGTCTCACGTCAGCCTGACTGCCTGTCTAAGTAGGGTAGTCCACCCAGTCTTTCCTGCCATGACTTCCTGTTCCAGAACTGGTGTAAAATGCGGAAGGCTGCTCATTTTAATGCCCTGATGCCAGGGGGTGGTATACGCAACTCCAATCTCCCCATATTGTGTCCCATGCCTTGCAGAGGGCATCCTCAAGTTGCTCTATGATCCGGCTTGAGGTCAGGCCAAACTCAACCCCTTGCTAGGCCTCATGTATTCATCCTTTCATTCTACCCCATTGGGCCTCATTCATACTGCCCCTCTCTCACTGGGGCCTCTCACATTTTGCCCTCTCTCACCGGGCTTCCTACATGCTGTCCCTCACTGGGCCATACCCAACCTGCCCTGCTTCCTTGAGCGACTGCATAGGCCCTCAGGCTTGCCTATTCATACTCCTTGGCTGGTCAGTGCATAGCCTCTTGGGCCCTCTTGTGACCATCATCTGAACAGTGAGCAGCCAATTCACCTTGCCCTGGAAGGAGCTCTGACCCAAGCCCCTCTCTGGGTAACTTGTCACTCTTGCTCCCTCTTAGGTCCGACTACTCATCCTTTTGACCCCAACTCAGACTCATCATGTCTGAGAACTTACTGGGGTCTCGGCCTCTGGCCCAACTGCAGCCTCAGGTGTCCATAGATTTTCCTTGGCCTAACTGCCCCCTCCCTGGGGCTTCAACTCACACCCTCTCACTAGGGCATTACACTTATACCCTCTCGCTAGGGCCTTCCACATCTGCCCCACTCGCTGGGGCCTCCAGGGTCTTGCATTCCATGGGGCTCCAGTGTCCAGAGATGTGCCTGGCCCCCGTACCTGTCCCTGGGTCTGGGTAATCTACAAGGATGTGGGGGCTGGAATTTTAAGGTGCCCTTCCTCGCATTTCACCAGGGAGATAACCAGCTGGCATTTCTGGGGGACTGTCCCACCACAGACAACCCCACCAGACCACCCTTCCCTAGCAGGATGCAGTTTCTGGTCATGCCCAGAACCGAGCAGATCTACCTGCTTTGGTCTTACCCCTACTGGGCTAGGTGTAATTGTTTTGGCCTTCTATCTCACTGAACCTTCTCCTCTTAGACAGTAGTCGGGGTGTCAGATAGCCCATCATGGCCCAGGCCTGCCCCTCATGTTGGACTTCATTGCCTTTTGGCCTTCCAGCCCTGGCCCTCTTGCATTCACCAGTTGGGGTGTTCTGGCCCCAGCACCGTAGCAGCTGACTGCCTTAGGCAGCATGGGTCCCCTTCTGGGCCCCACTATACAGCCCTCTCACTCTGGGCTTACTCAGAGCCCCAGAGGTCTTAATAACATGTCTGTGCTCTTAACTGGGCTCACCAGAGCAACAGGCCTCACCCCTGCCTGTTCCACATCAGGGGCTTGCCTAGCCCCTGTGTAGATTCACAAACCCTAAGCCCCTTCCCAGGCTGGGCCTTGTTTTATTTAGGCCCAAGCCTTCTCTCTGGGGCTTGGACCTCACTGGGCCCCTAGGAACCTCCTGACATCCCTATAGTTCTTCCCTTGCTGCTAGGTGTTGTGAGCAGCAGCTCAGCCGGGTGTTGTTCTCTTGG